AACTCTTTTTGCTGGACAACATGTCACTTGTTTTGGCTTTAGAGAGAAGCCGGAGCCGTCGATACACATTGTTGAAGCAAGTTAGGATTTTCAACGCTTATTGTATCAGTCGTGGTATTCAACCTAGTTTTAGATGGGTGCCAAGCGAGCTGAACAACGCCGATGAACCTTCAAGATATGATACGGATGAACCTTCAAAACTCCTCACCGACCTTATCCACGATGGCTCCGAAGCGCACTCGGCACCTGGCCATCCCCTCCGACAAGAAGAACCCGAGCACTGCAAAGAGAGTCCGGGTCCTGGAGCCAGGACAAGAGACGGGGAAGACTGGAACTTCAAGGGCGACTTGCCACTTGAAACCAATGAGCAGCGAAGCCAGCTTCACCGCCCATGTCGAAATTCCAGTGGCCAAGAGACTCGAGCAAGAGGTGGTCAAGGAGGGGGAAGACCAATTGAACGAGGACGAAAGCTTCAGCTCAGACAGCAGCTCAGATGTGATCCGCCCGACCGACAAAAGGAAGAGACTCCTTCACTCCCGAGCCAAACACCGCAGGAGGAAGTATGTCGACTATTTGCTGGAAGGAAAGGACATGAATCACTTGAGTCTGTTGGAGCGAAAGGCCATCGGAATGGCCACAGAGAAGATCTACCAGAGCGAGTACGCTCGTTTCATGAGCTTTGCAAAACCCAGGTTCCTCAACCTCGACAACTCGGACCAGGTGGATCAAGCGCTTGTCGACTACATGAACCACCAGTTCCTAAATGGGCACCAAGCCTTCGTTGGGGACCGGCTGATTGCCAGTTGGATCCATCACCACCCTCAGTATGGACGAGCTGGACCTCGCCGCATGCCGCGGGCGTTACGGGCTCTCAAAGGGTGGCGCAAGCTGTGCCCAGGGCGCAGTCGCACTCCATACCCTTCAGCAGTGTGGTGTGGGATGGCAGTGACGCTGAAGCAGATGGGATATCCTCTCATGTCGGTGTTCCTGATGATTTGCCTCTCTACCTATACTGCCGCCCTTCTCAGCTGTTTTCCCTCCAGGCATTTGGTCTTGTCCCGCCAGCAACTGGTGTGACGGGCTCATGGAGCGTGCTTCTCAATGCAGAGGAACATGGGGTGCCTTCAAAGACGGGGGAGTTCGATGTCTCGATCTCCCTGAACAGCCCCTACCTGAAGGGATGGGGCCCTACAGCTTTCAAAGCGCTCAAGAAAGGCCAACCAAGCAGAAGCCTGTGGAACTTCGACTATGGCCAATACTTGGCGGCATTCAAGAAGGCCTCGGGCCAAATGGGGTTGGCTCTTCAGCCATACCATACCAGACACAGCGGTCCGAGCATCGACCGCAGTCGAGACTGGAGGTCCCCCCTAGAGGTTCAGAAGCGAGGTCGTGGAAGACAGCAAAATCCGTGGCCCGCTACGAGAAGTCAGCCAGACTTGCCAAGACATGGGAGCTAGTCCCAAGAGCGACCAAGGACTTTTGCCTTCAGTGCGAGGCTCACTTCGGGGACGTCGTGAGCGGCCGCAGAAAGCCGCCAAACTTTGCTTTCCCCAGAGATCTGGCAAAGGGCAATACGTAGCAGATCTTTTCTCGGGCAAAGGTGGCGTTGCAGCTGCGTGCGAAAAGCTAGGTTTTGTCGCGCGCCAATGGGACATCAAGTATGGCCACCAGTGTGATTTGACCAACCGCAAAGTTCTCCGGGCCTTGCACCTTGATGTCAAAAATGGCAAAGTGCTGGCCCTGATGATGGCACCGCCTTGTGACAGTTTTTCAGTTGCACGGGACCGCACCAAAGTGATCCGCACATGAACAAAAGATAGCCATCGGAAACGCTTGCTTTAGAAGTTGCGCAGCACTCATACGTGTACTTGATGCCTACAGTATTCCTTGGGTGCTTGAAAACCCCTCCAGTTCCAAGTGTTGGAATCTTCCTTTTTTGCAGAGGTTGGTCCAGTCAGAGCATACATGTTTGCTGACCACCGACTTTTGTGCTTATGGAACTATTTGGAGAAAGCGAACCAACATTTGAGCAGGCAATATTCCCCTTGATGATCTCCATCGCGTTGACCATCGGTGTTCTGGGCGCAGGTGTTGCGAGTTTACACACAAACCACATTTTCACCTTACAGGCAAAGGGCCGGGAGGAGAAGACTGGACAGCTATAGCGCAGCCATACCCTCCAAAACTTTGCTCGGGTCTTGCGCATGCTCTGACTGCTCGCTGGCAGTACAATACCATTTCATATTGAACAATCCTGGACAACATTTTCTTGCATTCATGATTTGGGGCAAATGATTTTGGATGTCTGGGAGTTTCATGAAACTTTTGAATGTCGAGCGTGGCCAGCCAATGACAGGCACAAGCTACGACAAGCGAAAGAGCAGAGCAAAGACTGGACCGCGAAAAGTGAGCGAGGCAGAAGTGAAATCTGGATGTTCAATCTTTGTCACATCATGTTTCCCTTTGAAATCAAATGCTAAAAGCGATGCCCTTAAAAAGGCAGACGTTTGTGGGTCTTCTGTGAGAGCCCGTTTTTCGGAAGATCATTCTGTCAGAAAACGATAAATCCCATGAAGCCGCTCAGCCGCTGAGTCGAAACTGATCCATGAACTACCCCAGCCTGGTAGTGGTGGATGGATTGACTTCCAGGTGGGGTAGGTAAAATGAGTCAAGTTCCGGAAGTTCTGGGTAAGATCGTGCCATGTTCCACCAGTCACCAGAACTTGTTCCAGCAGCTGATTCATGAAAGTGGATAGAAGCTTTTCTGTACATATCCCATGTATGACTGCATGACCCTTTAATGTTAAGTAGCTATTCCAGACCCATGGATGGTCTGAGGGTGGCACCCATTGGTGCAACTCATGCCTCGTCATACCCCCTCGTCACCTCGTAGGTGCCCCCTCGTCACGTCCCCCCAAGGCCTGGGTGAGATCCTCGACTCAGGCGGAACGGGCTCGATCGCACACCGGGTGCACCCCCGTGGGCCTCAGGGCGGTGGCGGAAGATGGGTGTGTAGCTCAAATCGCTTCGGAACATAGACCAGTGACCAGCGACCGGGGCGAGAGGATCGGGTAAAGGGTGTCTCCCTGCGCCTAGTATCGTAGAAGACACCGAAATAGTTGCCGCAAGGTCCATCTGCAATGGGATGGAGCGGCTCATGTGCTTTTCAAGTTCCATGGAGTTGGGTGCTTCAAAACACCAACTAGTCGCCGATTGATCACTATGGTCCCTAGGTTTTAAGACCAGCTTCAAAAAGTGGTGCTTATAAAACGTCGGCCAGTTGGGGTGCCCGGTCACATGCTTCCTTCCGAAAACTCTGGCCGTCAGTTGCTGGACACTGCCAACCGGTCCCTCAAAATCTAGGGATTTGAGACGCCAGACCCCTTGTCATCCTCCTCTACTTATTCCGCGGACGAGTAGGATGCCAAGCTGGGATGGTTGCGGACGTCAAGTTTCATCCTGGTGTCCCCATCCCATGGGTTCCGGACAACTAAAGAAATGTGTTTGGCGTTGTTGGCTCGGCTTCTTCTGCTGCCCGCTTGGGTGATGTTGTTTCCCCATGGGTAAATCCGACCGCTTCTGGGGGAATCTGTGTTTATTTCCCGCTTCCCTTTTATCCATGACTTCGCGGACCCACAAATTGGATTGTAGATGATTGTAGAAAAAAAAAACCACTTGTTAGACTTGGGGCTCCTCACTGGGAGAATCACCTGTATATAGGTTTTGAGTGATTTTTTGTCTACTTGTCATGCTGGGTTTGCCTCCAGACGCGTTTCAACATTCTTAGCCTAGAGATGTTCAACTAAAAAGTGTTCCACGGCAGGATACACCAGTTGCATGGCATGAGATGTGTTCCACGATAGATGTCAACTCTTCTTTCTTCCTGCAGGCATGGGAGACATCCCCAAGGATCAAAATGCGGCCAAGAAGCTTTGGCTGCAGGTGGGGCAAGTCATTTGTTGTCATACTGGATGTCCCTGGCCCGCACTCGAGCGAAACGACCTTTGTCTTTCCCTTTAGTAGCCAGCCTTTGTATGTCACATGACAACAATTGGACAAGGACAACAACCAATTGATTTCTGCTGGTGGCGTTTTTTCCATGTGTTTGGATGTGTTTGTTCATGGCCAACGTGGGCATGGCCAACGTCATCACTCGGCCGGTGACCGGGGCGGACGACAGAGGCTGTGAAGGCGGGCAGCCAGCGGGCACAAGTGAAGCTCTGCCCGGAGCCCCCGCAGCCTCAGACGCTGTCACACGCGAGATGTACAGAAGTACGAGTGAGAGTTGACCCGAAATGTCATTGAGTCTTTAAATGATTGGAAACAGGCCTTTGGGGATTTGAAATTATCATCATCAGTCTACTCACACCGGTGGACTGAAATTTGGTGAGACCCAAATTGTTGCACCAATGCACCAGCATGTGGTGACAGCGCGATTGACCATCGATGAATGACAGCTTCGAATAGACCCTAAACAAAGCATCGCATCCCGGAATCGCCTGGACGCCGGTAGGTGCGGCCGTACCGTGCCCCGGAAGCCGAAGAACAAAGACTCGGCCCTCCCCCTAGGCCTCCAAGTACCTTCTGAGAAGGTGGGACTGGGGTGGGTGCCAGGAGGGTCTAAATACGGTACTTGGAGGTGTAGGGTGGGCGGGTCCAACCAAAAACGAAGGACCTGAGGATCCTTTGGTCCTTCGAATGAAGCCAACGGACTCGAAGCATTGACCTGCAGCGTTTCGAATGAAGCCAAAGGACCTCAACAAACATCGACTAGAACTACAGGTGATCACGACCGCCACTTAGCAGACTGAAGCATGGAGGAACTGCAGTAGAACGAACGAAAAAGCAAACTATTCAGAAACCCCAATCCTTTTTGGACACTTGGGTGAAACTGATAGAACATCAGAGGAACTGAGTATCATGTACGATGAGCACCTTTTACTCCACCCAGACGAGCAAACGAACCCCACCTTTCGTCCAAGATACCTGAACCAAACGAGTGCCGAACAGAGCGGATCTTGTCAAGCCACCGCCTTGTCAAGCCACCTGGCCATGGCTCCTGGCTTTCTGACTGCGAGCTTAATTTTCCTGCTGATGCTGAGCTCAACAAGACTCCAGTTGAACAGGCCCAGTCTAAGATCCATGGAGTCACACTCCATGCAAGTGAAATAGATGAGCATTGGACAACATTTGCGGAGTTCTACAACTCAGTAGACTGGCCTTCCTTTTGATGGCGTATGAATACTTATAGTTCTTGTAGTCAAATGTGGAGGGTCACTACGTATAGTAAATGATCTATCCGAGATGGATATAACGTGCAACATTTCGAGAGACCTGATCGATGATGTTTATGTTTTCCCATGTCGCTATGGCTCAAGGACCCAGGGACCGGGACCGGGGGCTTCAAGCTTCTTGTTTTTGTTTTTACACAGATACCAAGATGTTTTGCAGTACCCCAACACATGTCCATTGGTTGCGTGAAATGATGTGAAATGGTTGTGAGTCAAAACCTTCCCCTCTATGGTAGGTTGACATCCCGCAAAAGAATATAGGAATTTGTTCATTTTCGGTGGTCAACCAGGGTTCCCCCGTTTTTTCGCTGCATGAGTGATTCAATGGTAGCTCCGGTGATCCTGCTCGCGATCCGAGGAGTCATGTCAGTGGTGTGGCCAGAGTGGTCGCTGCTGTGGGAGGATACATGATCCTCACGATGGGCTTGATGTGCCTGGGATTGGGGCCCGGGGCGACGATTTCGTGAGAGTGAGCACGTGAGAGCACCACGTTTCGGTTTTCTGAGTGATCCTGGAAATCAACATATGACATATAATGTAACATTATCAATTAAGACCAGTCCAACGCTTTTGTAAGGAGTTCTTCCTGGGATGGCAAGATATCTCGCCTGTTTTGCTTCGCAGGCAATCTCAATGAAAGCCACACCGAAATTGGAGTAGTCCATCGGGGGGCGTACTTTGCACCTACCCTGTCAGCATCACCTGCAAAGCCTTTTTGGGGGATTGGGGACACCCCACGAAAGATGAAGAGGTTGCAAAGAATGAGTGAATTCCCAGGAAGTTCCTTTCAGCACGTGTCACTCATGGAACTTGTCTTTATTGTTCCTTAGATCGAAGTTCTTAGGTGTTACAACCCCCCCGGTCGACCGAGCGGATTCGTTTCAGACCCAAAGGCGGTGTTCCATCGTGCTCCTGATCCCGGACCGAACGGAGCTTGTCGCGGACCCACTCGGTCGCCATGGACCGAGTGCGAGCGACCCCAGGTTCGCGGATTTCTTTGGCTACAACTTCGGCATGAAGGATGCCGCCGGCTTCGTGGCCCCTCCACTTTTCAGTATACATGACGCCGACATAATGGACAGTGTAGGGTAGCAACTGCCGGGTCCAAATCCGCTTGGTCGGATTCATCCGGAAGCTGATGGCTAGGCGTCGAGACGAGGGAGCGAGCATGAGCGAGCTGTCCAATTCGCTCCGCTCCCCAAACCCTTACCAAACGAGGTGACTCCTAGTCTACGACGGTATAGTTGACGGTAGATGATCCCTTTTTCGGTCGTTTGTTTTTTCAACGTATTGCGCGTATGACGCGTGGGTGCCGTGTGCGTGTGTGGCACCCACACGGCACCTGATCATGCCACTCCGTGGACGGAGCTATAGGGAGTTCAGGTGCTCAGGTGCTCCCAGCAGACTTGGTCAGGTGGGGCGGAAGTTTTGGTCAGGTGGTTGTTGTGCCACGTGAGGCAGCTCGACCAACATTTGTGGGGTGGCCCTTGAACCTCCTTGGCTTTGGTTTTATTTGGGTATGTAATGCATTACATATTAGGCTTAGAATCGGGAGACTCCCCACCAATGAGTTTTACTCATTTACCTTTCCTCCAACTGTCATTTTACCAAGAGGCCCTCTCTCTATGTCAGTACACTTTGATGCGCATCCTTTGGGAAACCAAGGGAGTTGTTGATCGCATCTGAGGTCTTCTTTGACCTCGGTTCCATTTTCACTGTATCTTGGATGGAACTATCAGCCTTTCAGGGCAATGCTACCAGGGGAATTGCTCTGCAGAATCAAGGAGCACCAGCCAGATCCAGTTTGTTCGAAAAAAGGTGGCTGAATTGTTTGGGATCCACAGACGGCTAACAATTTTCTGTTCTTCTCTTCAGGGGCCAGCCAATCAAGATGCTGGCTTGAAGCTGCAGGTGGTTTCATTTGAAAGGCATTTTGCATTGGAAGTTTGGCAAGGATTCCTCAAAGGTTGCAGCACAATGGTGCCACGCAAAAAGAATCTCGCGGGAAATGGCCAGGAATCCTGAATCCCGAATCGGGGCCGCAAAAGGACTTGACATGTCCCATGTGCTCCACATCTACAAACCGTCGATCCTGGTTGACCGCCACCATGGAGACCGAAGGAGACCACGCGACCGTCCCGACCGGGGTGACGTCACGCGCTTCGCGGTTCGCACCCTCCGGGCCCATGGGGTGGACCGGTTTCAGCGCCGAACGCCGCGGTGATCGAGCGGTTTCAGAGATGCGATCTCAGCCTGGAGACCGTCCGAAGGGCCGAGGCCGAAGGAGGCCGAAGGGGAGGGGGTTTTCCACGAAGGGGCCAAGCTGGCCAAGCTAGCTCTCTTGGAGCAAGCAGCCTTCCTCGGTGTCGTCCAAGGCCGTGAACAACATGAACTCCTCATTGACACAGCTCTCTCTCTCTCTCTCTCGCAGTACTTGTGCTAGACTAAGGCTAGACTCGGCTAGACTCAGGCTTAGCACAAGCTTCTAGGAGTGGGCCAATTTGAGAGAAAAAAGAAGGGTCATGTGTGGTGGCATCCCCCCAAGCTGTACCGATCCTATGTTCAAATTTGTCAACTATCGCTCATTGTACAAGGAGTATAGAGAGAGAGAGAGAGCGAGCTCCTCTCTTTGCTTGCACCATGACCAATATTGGTTCCCGAAACATACCTTTCCACACCTGTCCCTATCGTGCAACAATTGCAATTTTGTCTCAATCCGAATGCTTTTCCCAGACGCACCCATCACCAGAGCTGCAGCAGGCGTGGTCTCTTCGTGAGCATCTTCGATGGTCGTTCTTGCTTGTGCTTGGTCTGCATTTTTGCATGTCATGTGCTCTGGTGGCGTCACCAGAGAGCATTCCATAGCATTCCGCTTCCAATCCTCGGGCCCTCCCTATCAAGAGGTTGCTATGTTTCTTCAGGAAGGATGGCACTCCCTGGAACGGCCACATGGTTATATAGTGGATGGCATGGCCACTTGGAAGACCATGTTCCTCTTTCCACTTCTTCCAAGGTCCAAGACCATTTTAGTTCGGAGAGTAACGAGAAGCAGGAACCTGGTGGCCTGTACGGCATGTCGAGTTGCCCAGAAGGAGTTCCACATGACATCACCAGCTTGAGTCAACCAACCGCACGGTTCTCGAACGTGACTTTTTAGGATCCAATGGATTTGGGTGTGTAGATTCTCAGAGCAACAAACATGTCCCAGACACTCCATGGGACTGCCATATATGCCAACATTGGTTTGGTTTGGGGGTCAATGTAGGCATATATTCCATACATGGAGTGTCTGGGTGTTTTTTGTTCTTGTTTCTGGGGTTCGTGAACGACCAGAGTTTGGAACGATCAACAGAAAGGCTCCTATTTGTTGGTGGATCTCGCCCGTTTTGGTTTCCATTGGGAGATGGTACCTGCAGTCTGAGTTGAGATCAATGTAAGGAAGCAATTGAAGGAAGCATGTCCAAAAACCTGTGAAGACTCTAAGAACAATCTCATACTTGACGATTTTGACGATTGAGTTATAGCCAACATGCTAAACAACTCTGCGTTTGTTTGCAGGCGTTCGCAGTCCACCTCACATGTTGATCATTGTTTGGTCCTCAGGGTGAGGCAAGACCAACTTGTTGAACACTGGTGAATACCTTCGGATGAACCGTCAGAGCCTGTGAAGCTTGTGCTCGAAAGGTGCAGCTTAAACCTAGCGCTTCCAATGGGTGTCCAATGGTGACCTATAAGCAGTGAAGGCAAGGGTTGTCCAGCTAGGTAACCCCTTGGAAGCAGCTGGTATGGATCTCTTGGAAAGGATGGATATGCACTGCTACAGCTTGGCTGCTTTAGAATGTTTTAGAGGCTTCTTGACCGTTGACCATCATCTCCAACGGTCTTATTAGGGTATCCAGTCAGTGCAGATCCTTTCAAAAGGACCCATCCCCACATCCTTCGGCACCCAAATCCGGATCCGACACTGTGGAAGACCGATTCCACGGACCCTGAACACCACCTGATTGGTACCCGGACCCTCCAGTCGGGGTGTCCTGGCTGGACTACCCCACACGATCTGGCTTCCAGACAGGGCACCATCTTCCAGGAGGATCCTGGTAGAGGAACACCATCTTCGCAGGGGGCCAGGACGGTCCATACGCGTCGTGAGAGGCTCAGCGGATCCTTCCGTCGCGTCAGCGTCCGCGGCCGATCGCGGTGGTGCTCCAGGTGGCGGGAGTCCCCTGGACGCTCTGTGACTTGCTCGGAGCGCAGGCGCGGAGAAAGCTGGTATCGGCAGGGACCGATCAAGCGATTGTACCAGGAGTCACATGGAGTTGGGTGGTTTTGGGTCCCCAAGTTTTCGTGGATGTGACGTTGGGGCACTTGTACTCCGACCGGCACCCCAGATGACAGAGATAGAGATGACTTGAGATGGCCAAGTCGTTCACGTTCCGGTCGTCCGTTCCAGCACGTCTCTACCTGCAGCCGATCCTCGCGGGTCATCGCGGCGAGTACCGGCCGCGGTGAGCGGCCGGTTTCCTCTGCGCACGACCGAGGTGTTGGTTCAAAACGACTCTTCACCGTGGCTGAAGCCTGCGTTTGGCGGCTTGCTGTTCATAGACCCTTGGACGGAATGCTGGAGGACGTGAAACCACCAGAGTGAAGACGTTGTCCCACACCCTTCTCAGAATATGTTATTTTTATCTACAGCCTTCGGCATGCCGCCGGCCATCAGCTCGAGCCCGCACGGCTGGTCGCCATGGCCCGGGCGTGTGTAGCTGTGTGTAGCTATTGTGTTTTTTGTGTGCAGGTTATGCAAAGGTTAGCTAACAGAGTGTACGATATCAAAGTGCGTGAAAACAAGGGGTTTGTGCGCGACATGACTTGGAACATGCACGCTGGCTGGAGATGTTTGTGTCAATGAGGTGCGGCGTCAAAACGAAGTAGTGCAAGAGCCATGTAAGTGGAGAGCGAGCAACTGGCCAAAAACAAAAGCTGCGCTGGTGTAAAAGCGAGTGGGCAGCGAACAGTACTTGCAGAGAGCGCGTGTGTAACACAGAGCTTCTGCAAAAGCGACATGTAAGCGAAAAAAAGTAGCGAGGAAATGGTTGCAAGGGGCTTGTGCGCGACATGACTTGGAAGGTGCACAGGTTGCGGTGTCAGAACGAAGTCGTGTAAGAGCCATTGCCTAGAATAACGCCGTGACAGTGTAAGCTAGAACCCAATTGGCAGCGAGTTCCCGCAAAACGCGTGGAAAAGCCAAGGTTTTTATACGTTTTTCTACACGCGCGACTGTGCGCCAATGCATGGCCTGCTTGAAAAAGACGAAGAGGGGGAAGAGAAGAGAAGGAGAACGAGAACGAAACGAGAAGAGAAGCGAAGACAAGAGACGAGACAAGGCGACAAGACAAGACAAGGCGAGAGGGGGGTATAGGAGCGCCTCAACATTAAAAGACGAAAAATGAGTTGAGAAGATGATTTTCATTACTAAAAGTACGAGCACCTCAACATTAAAAGAAGAAAATGAGTTGGACAGATGATTTTCTTTACTAAAAGTACGAGCGCCTCAACATGAAAAGAAGAAAAATGAGTTGGGAAGATGATTTTCTTTACTAAAAGTACGAGCACCTCAACATTAAAAGAAGAAAAATGAGTTGAGAAGATGATTTTCATTACTAAAAGTAGGAGCGCCTCAACATTAAAAGACGAAAAATGAGTTGGGAAGATGATTTTCAGTACTAAAAGTACGAGCACCTCAACATTAAAAGAAGAAAAATGAGTTGGGAAGATGATTTTCTTTATTAAAAGTACGAGCACCTCAACATTAAAAGAAGAAAAATGAGTTGGGAAGATGATTTTCTTTATTAAAAGTACGAGCACCTCAACATTAAAAGAAGAAAAATGAGTTGGGA